TCTTACTTCTGCCGACTGTATTTAATGCTTCCTAAGAGAAAGGGTATAATATCAGGAATTATCCTGCAGAACAGTATCATAAAATGGTGATTGGCCACAAAGCATGTTTCTGCATATACCTAAAATCTATTTTTATGTTGAAGGTAGCCTATGCAAGCTAACTCCTGTGGGCTGTAACTTGATGATTTGAAGTCATTGTCCAGGTGTTTTGATATGGACAAAACAATAGAGAGGATAGAGAAATGTATACAATACACGAAATAATGGACATAGGTTACAGATGCCCTCAAATCTATGAAAATTATGATCCCAAGGTTTAACACTGCCCAGAAACAGAAACTTGAATCAAGCAACCCCTACCCCTGAGTCTTAAAAACACAAACAAGACAGGCTGCATTTTAACGGTTTGGACAAAGGAACTATATTTTAGCATTTTCTATCTTTCCATTTTTCACCATGACACTCTGAATTGGCCCATTGGCAGAACTCCAGCGACAATTGAGATGACAAAACTGTAGATAAAACCATCCAATGACATTAAATTGCTTAAAGGCAGTGCCGTCGGTGTCAGAGTGAAGCCCTTCACTTCGCTTCTTCACACCTGAATGTTTGGAAATTAGCGAACAAAACAGCCAGGAAATTAGAGCCAATAAGAGGCTTGCCACTTCTCGTCAGCGCGGCTCTCGGGGGACGTCCAGCTCTTCTGTGTTTTTCATCACAGAATCAATGAAAAAGCAGTCGTCTTTTTCAAGCCTTGATTGGTTGGTTGTGGTCTTTGCTGGGTTTTTGTGAGAGAAACAAAGCATTCCGAGTACATTTAAAACGTTTTACAGTTAAAGAAGAATAAATTTAATTCTCCTGCAACTATTCTACTCTGTTTTATTTGTTATGTGTCCTATATATTTCATCTGTTGTTGGAGCTTTTCATTGCCCATATCTACACTTGTACTCAATGTGACAATACCTTGAATCCTTGAATAAATTGTAAGTAAAGGAAACAACAAAAGTACAGATGATATGGGACAAAATATTCCTAACATTAATTATAATAAACAGACATGTTCTGGCCCGCCGGGATAATTTCTAATATACTATGGAGCATCCGGGGCCGCGGTATACTGCCACCGTACCTGGCACTCCGCACCTCTGAGCGGTCCCTCAATCAGAGCCGCAGGCCAAACATTTGCATGACTGTGCACCAGTGGCGAGCCGTCAGGGCCCTCTAGGCCCTCTGTGAGAGCCTAAGGTATTCTACAAAATAATATTTAAAAACATTAAAAAAAAGAAATATTTTTTTAAATATTTTCTTTTAGTTATTTTTTTAGTTATATTTTTCATTAGTTTTACCAAAATAACTTGATTTAATTGTATTTAAAATAACATTTCCAAAGAAATAAATCCTTCGAATCTGCCTATTCAGTTTCTGTTGGAATGTGAAGGGTTAAATGAAAGAAGCTCGTCTCTGCGAGTTACTGTGAAGAGAGGAGCTGTTGGACGTCCAGGCGGTCCAGCTATGAATTCACAGAGGGCCCAGCTATAGTAACTGAACGAGAGAGTAATGTCAAATGACAGTACAATTGACCAATCATATCTTCCCTCTAAATGGGTGGGTGTTATTATCGCGGACTTTATGACAAGTTCCGCCCGCTGTGAAACTTTTCTTGTTTCCATAGCAACAACAACTTCCTGTCAACGGCGTTAACTCGCCTTCAAAATAATAGCATGCCAAATTACACTTAAGACATACAACTGCAACGAAAGTAACAAACACAATGCAATATCCTTTTCAATTTCAAAGAACACAAATAGGGTTATTTACAGTTGTTGTTTTGTGTGGTAGAGGGTCGCTTTCATTGATGCGTTTTGCACCCCGGGCCGTTGTTTTGATATTCCGCTGAAGTATACGCTGTGACGTAATAACTCGAGGGAAGGGGTGGGGGTCAGAGGGCCTAGGTATAAAAGTCACGGCTCGTCGCCACTGCTTTTGATGTTACAGTGTAATAATATAAACAAATATTCACTCCCAGGGCACAGAGAGCTGCCTGATTGGCTTCCTGTCGTAAGTTCAAAGTTATAAACTGTGTATTCAATATGTTACACACAGAGCTGATTCTTATTGGGAGGGAGCAGGTGGAAGTTCAATGCCTTTTGCTCCAACAAAAAGCCGAACAGTGATTTACTGCAGGGTGATAAATAAGGCAGATTCTTTCATGACTGCTATAATCTGGGAATAAGTGTTATTTGAGGAGTGATTACAATTACTGTTTGTTTAACAAGTGAATCTGAGGGAGGTGTATGACATCATCCGTGAGGATTAAGTGAGGTGAGGGTGTGTGTCGAGGCTGAGACAAAACATCTGCACTGGAGTCCTGAGAGAAAGGTACGTGGAGGAGGTAATACAATCCCCACTGTTATATCGTAATTGTAGCATTCTCTCCTCTTAAAAAAATAAATATTTCGCTCTATTTTCCCTTTTCTTATCCCCTTCCCTTTCCCCCCTCGACCTCCCTCCAAGATAAATGAGTGTGGTGGTTCTGTTTAGCCGAATTCTCCAGCGAGCGTGAAGAATGCAACTTCAGACGATGACACAAACACACTCACACACAGTTTTGAGCTCCATTATATTCAAGGTTTTGTTGTTTATGCTATCCACACTCCCTGCTGCATTGTGTGTGTGTGTGTGTGTGTGTGTGTGTGTGTGTGTGTGTGTGTGTGTGTGTGTGTGTGTGTGTGTGTGTGTGTGTGTGTGTCTGTGTGTGTGTGTTGTGTGTGTGTGTTGCATTTATGGATTTATGTGTGTGTTTCAGTGTGCTCATGCGTCTTACCAAGACACCAGGTGTCCACCATCGATAGAACTCTACAAAACAAGGAGAAAAAGCTTTGTGTGAAAACAATCCCTCCAGCCAGCATTAAAATAAGAGTCTTACTTTCTGCGCTGTAAGCTGAGGCGGACTCAGGCTCGCTGCTGCACTCCACAGCAAAAATATATCAAGAGTAAAAAAAGTGAGTAAGCAGGTGCTGAGTTCGGCCTGGAGGAAGAGAAGGTAATTATGAAGCAAAAAGGCTTTTTGGTTTGATCGGTAGTAGAATTTAATTCAAGGCAAGTACGACATCAGGGGTCCATCATCACTTGATCATAAACTATTTAATATTCACAGAGCAACCTAATAACAAGCTACACACGGTTTCTTGCAAGTGAAACGTCATATAATAATTGTGAGAACTTTTAATGTTCGGGGAGATTTTGTAGATATTTACATATGTTTACATTTTGTCAGTTGTAGGTCGGCCTATCATGTACACTGACATCAATTCTGTGTATTCATATCGTGAATTCAATAGAGACACTCTGTATATATAGATATATCTTTCACTGTAAATATTTTCAGTTTTTTGTATGTATAGGTTTGTTTATTTTCAAACACCCTAAAGTACTTTTTAAACCTGCTTCACATATTTAATATATACCACTATGTTTTATTCTTCCACTGATTGTTTATACCTCAGAACGAATGCAAGCTGAGAAACAACTTCATAATTCAGAAACATTTGTGTGCTCTCCAGCAGCAGTAATCCTCTGTAGTTTTTGTTATTTAAAGAATAAACCATGAAATCCCCCAAACCAGTGTTGAATGGATTCTACTAACATGTGTTGTCTGTAGCCAAAGCCAGAAGGATCCTATTCCTCTGTGCAAACAAATCAATGAGCCACTGCTGCTCTGCTCCTTCTTCATAATGAACATGTTTTATTCTGAGTCAATTCCACAGACTGCTGCTGCACATATTCACACATATTCACACGCACGCACGCGTATGAGTTCATGTTCAAGTCAACGTATTTGCAGTTTTATGCAGAATTATTTTCAGAGGTATGGATTCAGAAATGATCTATGTGGTTGTAACATTTATATCGCAGAACAAAACGTTAACATTACTTAATCATGTAATAACCACAGACCTTATTTCAGGCCTCTAACAAATAACCCAAATTGACTTTGAAAAGTGCTAAAATGCTAACTCATGACCAGCTTCTAGGACGCATTCCTGCACCACTCTGAGAAGAAAGGCTAAACTTATTGTTTTATATCAAATGTGTTTAAGCCTGGACATTTCCTGAACACAGAAAGTTAGAAAATGAAGGCATGGAGCAGGGTTTCTTCAGATACAGACAGCACAACACACTTATGGGTCATAGGTGATGATTGAGATTACATTTTTAACAAAGTAACGCATTGTTGGTTCCAGACCTTTTAGGGTTAACAGTAATAACACTGGGATGGTTTTTTAAGCTCAATGTATTTTTCACATTCAGCTTTAGAACCTATGTTGGGAAAATCAATGCAACTTTCAAGGATAGCTGAACTTGAGTAACAGTTCTACTGTTCCTGTTAGGGCACAAGTTAAGTACTTTTCCAAACCCAATTTTGAGACAAACACTTAAACGCAGTGCAGAGCTGCAGTCATGCGTTCCCTCTCTCCAGTTTTAGGACTGTGTGTCTATACAGTGATGTACTTTTTAACAAAGCTCCAGTGGGAGGCAGACTTACTTCTTGGTGTTCTCCTCGATGTGGTTCATGTGGCTGGAAGGTCTCCTCTCGGCCCTCTGAAACAAGAAGGAGCATCATGGGAGGGCGGAGATTAGCGCTGAACGATATACCGTGTCATGGCGATAACCGCGATATGCGCGATATTCACATCGCAGGGACGTGCGATTTTTTTTTTTTAGGGCGTTCGATATTAAGTAGGTAAATTAACTCAAACACGTCATGTTACGATTATTTTGCTGCTTGCTACAAAAGGAAAACTTGCGCGGCTCTCATGTCAGGGGTACTTGAGTGGAGTGACATGCAGGCTCTGAGTCTGCATGCACAGCAAACAACTATTTCAGATGCCTTTGCCGGTGTTCCACCATACTGTATGAGAAAGGTTCAAAACGGCATAATGGAGCTGGTGTATAGCTGTTCTTAATTTTATTTTTATAATGTTGTTTAAAAGATGTCCACTGCTTTGCTGCTATTTGCACAAAAAAGGTTTTAATTGTGGAATAAAAAGTTAAATGACCTATTTGGTCACGTATGTTAATTCCCAAATGTGATTATGAAGCTTCCTATAGTTTAATGTAATACGTTTCATCTCTTGGATCCCTTCTTGACACCACTCTTCTTCATTCACAGATGAACCCCCTTATTTGAGGATAAGCAACCTGCATTATCATGACATGTTAGATCATGACTTAAGGTTTGATGAGTCAACCGGTTAACGTCCGTGACTAAAATCCTTCATCCGGTTAAATATAGTTAAAAAAAACGCAATATATATCGCAGGGGAAAAGAATATCGCAATGTCAGTTTTTTTCAATATCGTGCAGCCCTCGCGAAGAATATGCTCTCATTGTTCAGTAAAGACAAGGTGTGCTGACACACGAAGACACATCCTTGGTGTAAGTTTAAATACAGCGATGCCCATAAAGTTGGAGGAAATTCGTTTTCAGACACATTCCTCTTTTTATTCCTATTTACACACACAATCATTTCATGAGAAGAGGTACAAAATGTTTTATTACAACTTTATTGGCAACAGTGTGGGCCCATTTTTGTATTTTGTGCCTCTTCTGTGACGTGTTTCCATGCTTTAATGTTTCAAAAAGCTCTTTATTTTTCTTATACTGCCTGTGCTGCAGCACCTCAGATACTTATAACACAATACAGGAAAGGGAAATAGAGCCGGTTTAAAAGCTTGAAGATTATTCTCATCTGTACCAATGCACCTAAATTCCCAAATTAAAATACAGTTTGGATTATCATAAAACCCCAGAACTGAAGTGGACTCAAATAAAAATGTTGCCCTTTAAAAAAGCAAATGACAAAATGTATCCTAAACAAATGTATTTCTTTGGATTTAAACGTATCAAAAATAGGTTTTGTGCATTGTTTGATCCTTGATGAACACCCGACAACACACAAGGCTCTTATTCCACCCACATAACATAGTGGGATATCTACATAACACACAGGAAAGGGACAACCCCAAAAAGCATTATAGGGCCCCTTTAACAAATAATCAATTGGTCATTCATATGCATGAGACACACACACACACTCACCAGTTTATCCCAGTCGGCTTGTATGTGTGAGGTTCTGTATCTGGGATTGGGATCAGCATCCAGATATTGTGTCCTCTCCGTGTTCCACTGCAGCTCTGACCAGAAACCCTGGAGAATTCTGGCCTGCGCACGCACACACACACACACACACACACACACACACACACACACACACACACACACACACACACACACACACACACACACACACACACATTCTAAATGTTAGAATGAAGTCATTTCCCAGCATTGCGTAACACATGCACCTACAGTCATGTGACAAACACACATTTAATCAGAAACCTTAATGCAAGTTGTATGATCTGGTTCCTGGAAATAGGGCATATGCTGTAACTAAAAACTCAACAGTCGTATATATTGTTCAAGAATACTTACAAGCAGTTTTAAAAATAATGAATGTGATTTTAAAAAAATGGTGGTTGTTACCTTGCCTTTGAACACGGGTTCAATATGCTGCTCAGTGGTACACAACACACCAGGGACCTCCAACAGACATGCTGGTACCTCCTAGAAAACACAAGTGTGCGTGTGGGGGTGTGTGTGTGTGTGTGTGTGTGTGTGTGCGTGTGTTAAGGCACAAAGAAAGAAAACAGAATTCAAATTGTGTCCTCATACTGCATTCATACACACACTATGGCTGCCTTTTATTTTTATGCGCATTCTCAATTGTATAATAGTGTGTGTGTGTGTGTGTGTGTGTGTGTGTGTGTGTGTGTGTGTGTGTGTGTGTGTGTGTGTGTGTGTGTGTGTGTGTGTGTGTGTGTGTGTGTGTGGTACCTTCTTGTCGAGCACAGAGGAGTAGGGCAGGACTTTATCCAGGCTGAGAGACTTCTCATAGCTTATTCTGTATAAAGATGCTGTGTGACAGTGAGGAACAGAGAGAGTACAGTCTGAATTCATTTAACCCAACACAGATTGATTTACTTTATTAGAGGCATGGATGCCTTTTGAGTTCTGGATATGACGGGCCGATGTTTCCAATTTTGCCCACTGGCCAACGGCAAACAGGTGACTTAGGCCTCATTTTAGAATCCATTTTTATTTGTAAAAGCTAGGCTACAGAAGCTATCATCACAGTGTAAGGTCTAAGGCAGTGGTTCTCAACTGGTCAGGCCTCGGGACCCACTTTTTTCTTTGTGAATAAATCGCGACCCAACATTTTGAACCACTCAAATCTATTCAACAAAAAATCGGATTTTTTGTTGAATAGATTTGAGTGGTTCAAAATGTTGGGTCGCGATTTATTCACAAAGAAAAAAGTGGGTCCCGAGGCCTGACCAGTTGAGAACCACNCTTTGCTGATGTTTTTTCGAGTCTTCTGGCCAATCAGAATCAAGATTGTTGCCGGAAGTCCCCACTGAGAATAACTTTGCGGTAGAACTATTCTTTATACATCCATGGGTACAACTTCAGATACAAATGAACACGTAATGAAATATGACCCCCGGTTTGATGATTGACAGGTCACAGAACAATGGGGGCTATCTACCCTTACCCACAATTTAAAGTAAGTGACACAGATCTCCTCTTTACTCTTCTCTCTGTGTGGAGCAGCAAGTTCAGCTGTCAGAACAAAGTGAAAAACAAACAATGGCATAAAATATTATTAAAATGTCGGGTAGTAATAGATTAATTTATTTTCTTCTCAGAGTGTACCAGAATGCGTAGTTTATATGTCCTGGGGGAGAATCCCTCCAGACTTTTTTCTGACGTTGGGTTTTCAGCATGTGTGCCTTTTTATACAGTTCATCTTTGAATCCATCATCTCATTAAACCTTTTTTAAAAGCATACTTTAGTTCTGTGAAGGGATATAAGGGATATATGCACTGTATTTC